GACATTGTCGGTAGACTGAGTTAAAAAAATTTATTTGAAATTGGTTAAATCATTTTAATGAGTTGCCATGACTTACTGATTATATCATTATTTACAGTTTTTAATTCACACAATGAAGATATCCAACATGTAAGATACTAACTAAAAGTACTATGCTATATTACCATGTTGTTGGTGGTGATTTTAGACATGTACTATGATATACCATCTTTAAAGAACCTTGGAGTACCATCTAAATGAATATAAATATGGAGCACGATGTTACATGAATATTTAAGAGTGTATTGCCTTCTGATACAATCGCTGTACTATAGCAGCTCTTTGCAAGGGGAGCCACCAGATGGCATTTGCTGGGTTCTTAGTAGCAAAGGTTTTTCCCAGTTGGTTGCACATGTCCCTGAACAGATACATGATTGTTTGATTTAAAATCAAAGCCATGAATGATAGATACCAGTGCTACAGATTTTTCATATGGACTGCTTGACATGTGAGATTCATTACATTTGATGGTACGTTTGATTAAAGGAATAGTTCACCCCAAAATGAAAATTAACTGAACATTTATTCACCCTAAGGCTATCCAAGATGTAGATGAGTTTGTTTCTTTACCAGAACAGATTTGGAGAAATGTAACATCACATCACTTGATCACCAATGGATCCTCTGCAGTGAATGGGTGCCGTCAGAATGAGAGTCCAAACAGCTGATAAAAACATCACAATAATCCACAAGTAATCCACACCACTCCAGTCCATCAATTAATGTCTTGTGAAGCGAAATGCTGCGTGTTTGTAAGAAACAAATCCATCAAGGCGTTTTAACTTCAAACCACTGCTACAGACATTAATTGATGGACTGGAGTGGTGTGGATTACTTGTGGATTATTGTGATGTTTTTATCAGCTGTTTGGACTCTCATTCTGACGGCACCCATTCACTGCAGAGGATCCATTAGTGAGCAAGTGATGTAATGTTACATTTCTCCAAATCAATTCTGATAAAGAAACAAACTCATCTACATCTTGGATAAGCTGAGGGTGAATAAATGTTCAGTTAATTTTCATTTTGGGGTGAACTATTCCTTTAAAGACAATCGAATTACATATTACAAATGTCAACTAGTCAACTGCTATTTGGCTCAGGTGATTGCATCAAAAGGTTCTGTGGTTTCATGAGCAAAGATTTAAATCACATGCCAAACGGGGTGTTTATCCTAAATGTAAAAGGATTCCTCCCACAAACCGCCCTCCATTGTAAGTGCCTGGAGAAATACTGAATTGTTCTATTGCAGGTCCCACTGCAGCAACCCGATTCCCTTTTCACACAGTGGCTGCACTGAATTGCACAAGCCGAACCCATGCATACAAAAAACAGAGTGTCATAAAAGATGTTTCAGGTCATTCTGTGCTCTCTGAGCACAAAACAAGAGGGCATATGTGCAATTTTTTTTGTATTAGAAATTTCAAAGGATTGACATACATAATATGGCTCCTTCCATGTGAGAGACGTTTATTTAAAATTATGTGAGAAGTGTGTAATATTTTTGCACGCACCCTACTCCTCCCCCCGTCCCTTTGCACACTCACATGCGCATGCTGCAGAATGTATGTCTCACATTCTGGGCACATGGCAACACCAGCTAAATATAGCCTGCCAGCCTCAGGATTTCTTCCTGCGAACGCAGAATCCCCATCACGTAACGCCCCCTCCCTCATCCTCTTTACACTGTCCTCTCATCTGCTCGTGCGTTCACTTCTCACCGGGGAACTCAAGCTGGTTGCCAAAGGCAGCAGTTCATTTACAGAGTCAAACGGTGTGTGCTGCTCTCCAAGGACTTTACCTCAAAGCGATGTCAAAAGCATTGTGTGTAGCAGGTTTATTGTCATTAACTAAAAATAAATAATTTAAAAAAATCATTACTTGAAATTGAAAAACTGAAATAAAATATAAGCAAAAAATTATTTTAGCTAGTTGCCACTATTAACTAAATCTAAAATAATTTAAAAGCACATTTTATTACTTGCTATAAAATAAATATGAATATATATATATATGCATGTATATGTGTGTGTGTGTGTGTGTGTACATAAAATGAACCATTTTCATTTCAGCTGGTTGCCATCAAGTACCATAACCAAAACCATAAAAAATATTACTTGAAATAAAGTAAACATTAACTGAAAAAAAAAAATATATATATATATATATATATTCAGCTACTAATGTAAAAAAAAAAGTCACAACTTGAAAAATTTAATACAATTAAATATATAAAAAAATAATTTATTTTAGCTAGTTGCCATCATTAACTAAAACTAAAAAAAAATAAAATAAATGTATTACTTGAAATAAACATTAGCTGAAACAAAATAAAAATATATTCAAAAATAACTAGATTTAAACTGGTTTCTTGAAATAAAATAAACATTAACTGAAACAAATATACTAAAACAAATTCAGCAACATTTCTTACATTTCTAAAGTAAAACTAAATCAACTAAAAATTAGAACCCAATAAAAAAAATAATACAGACATCCAAAAAAACAAATAAAAATGACATTTCTTGCTGTTTGTCCTGTGAACTGTACCATTAAATTTGCTCAGACAAGTGTCTGCTAAATGAAAAATTACATTTGAATCATAAACTTAATCATAAGTCAAAACCATTATTAATCTTGAACAAGACATAGTATTTTAACTTTTAAAATTATGCACCACCATAAAGTCTGACCAACAAGACATATTTGCATTTCATTAATTCAGAGAAAAACCTAAGCCCGAACATTTGAATATTATGGCTTTTTGCTCTTATGACATCATATGACCCCACCCACCATGACCTAAATCAGAATAATGACGGACCGTCCAGTTTCGTGTCTAAATTTGGTCCACATTTAATGCTTAGAGACAGCACCGACTCTTCTTAACCAATGAATGCTCTTGTGATCACAGCAGGAGCTCAGTGCATTTCAAATAATCCAGGCCTGATCTGGAAGAGACCTCAGCGTGGCATTGCGTCCTGGTCTGCAGTGCCACCCTGTCTAATAACATGGGTGCGGCGGGGTCACTGTCTAAGGGTCAGCCAGGACACAGAGCGTATTCCTACCTGGCATCCCCTCCAGTCTTTAAACAGGGTGACTTACATTCCCGTGGGCTCCTGTGCGAATGACTGTCATGCCAATGACGTTTTGGCCGCAGGCATCTGTGTGGCCGGAGATGCTGCAATGTAGGTAAATTACATATTGTCACACTGCAATTTTTACGTCACCATTACAACATGTCTTACCATGCACTGAGTCACTTTTTAGGTTATGTAAGTCAGGCAGTAAAGTTTTACTTTTACTTAGTGTTCAAAAGTTTGGGGTCAGTTTTAATACTTTTATTCAGAAAGGACATCTGTCTGTTTCATTTGGATGCTATTCTTTTGAAGAATCTGGAGCAAAAATGGATCACGGTTTCTACATAATATGCAGCACATCTGTTTTCAACATTGATAATAATCAGAAATGTTTCTTGAGCAGCAAATCAGCATATTAGAATGATTTCTGAAGGATCATGTGACACTGAAGACTGGAGTAATGATGCTGAAAATTCCGCTTTCATCACAGGAATAAATTACATTTGAAAATATATTCAAGTAGAAAACAGTTATTTTTAAATGGTAATATTATTTAACATTATTACTGTTTTTACTGTATTTTTGAGTTACGACACCAAAAGTTCAAACAGTTGTATATATTGTGTGACATATTAACAAATAAATAAATAAAAACATATATTTTACTTTAAAAAAACAATGGTTTTAGTGACTGAAGGTCAATTTCACTTTCAAAAGCAAGAATGTAACCCAAAATCTACAGTTATTTGCTTTTTTGC